TTAAATAAAAACAAGAGTGTTATGCATCGATAATGTATTTTTGTATCATTTCAAAAAGGTATCAGTCCCTTTCTAAGATCATCACTCAACTTCTGACCAGGATAACATTTATTTTTCGTGTCTAACCAATTATCCATAATATAAAGATGATTGCTCTTGCCTCGTTTTGATTTCGTAGGAAAACTTAACTACAGGAATGGATTTTACGCTCTTGCCCCGAATGTATGGGGCAAGAGCAGCAATTGTCATCCTAATAAAAAAACAACATTTTTGGTAAATTGTAAATTTTCTAATTCAATCTAAAATATTCAGTTTTGTAGAGAACACTATAGGCTACTCTCTGGTTAAAATGCATCATCCATAAAACATTTTAAGTATTTGTTCTGTGATCTCGATTTTGAACTTTTAATTTTTTGGGCAGCACTTGCCCCACCTTACCTTATATATATATATATATATATATATGCTTGAGTTTACTACTTTGACAATTATAAAGCCTAATTAATTAAAATTTTAGAAAAACACATTACCGCATCCGGGTTACTGTGTATCATAGAAGCTAGCAGCAAAAATGTTAAACTGCTTACTAAAAACTTTTGTCTAGGAGCAAGTATAATCATGTTCCATATGGTTATAAAAAACATTTAGAATAATAGATTTTTATTAACAATATAAAAAATGCATACACATAGATATCTGAAAACATATTCCATAAGTAGTAACGAAGCATTAATATATCACATATTCAACTTTGAAAGAACAATCTTGCACTATTATAACTATAATATAAAAGTTTAAATTCATTTTCATACATAGAAATTTTCTTTTCAGTCAGTGTCAATGTCTGCATCAGTTTGGTTTCATGAGTATCTGCAGCATTGATTTGTTCACTGATTTTGTTGCGATCGTTTAGCAACTTTCTATGAACGGAGTGAAACCAATGCAGTGAGTTAAATTTCTTTTCTTGGTTCAACAACTCTATAATGTAGGCTAAGCCAAGAGCAAACCCATCATCTGTGAAGGTGCACTCATTGTACCTTTTGTTCAATTTTTCCTTGCAGTTCAAGGAATGTTCTATATAATTTATTGTAAGTGGTGGAACGATAATAAAAAAGTTCTTTAGATGCAAGTTGTTACCATCTCTCAAGACAGGTTCAAAAACCCGAACCAATAAACTGAAATACTCCGTCGAGTCTTTCATGTTGTACAAATATGTGTTGAGGTTATCCAATACGCTTGTGGCCGCCTTTTTGGACAAGACAGGCATTTCATCACTTTCGATGGTCTCTGCAAGGATTTTCACCCTTTTCAACTCCGGAATAAAGCAAGTGTTTTCTGCTAAACATCTCCTGCCTCCAGATCTGATAAGTCTGACATATCCCATCGCATTACCAATTTGTGTTATCACCTTTCTAAATAAATCCAAATAACTTTCCCCTTTCTGATTCAAACCAAGTTTTTTTATGCCAATATTGAATTTTTCGGCTCTCTCATAGGGGTACATCTGATTTAAGGATGCTCGGCATTCGTTGAAGAATCTTATATCCTTTATCAAACGTGATTTGATGTGTTCATCGAAAATAAACTGACTAAAGATGTAAAACTGACTTCTCAAATACTGGTACACGAAATTGACTGTAGTATTCATGATACCAACCCCGTGAGTCCTTATAGAATTAGCAACATGGGATATACCAATGGAATTAAGATGTTTGTTATTACTTGATTTTTCTATAAAAACTTGACTGTTGAGATTATAATTGTATATATTGACAAATACACTGATGTTACGCATTATTTCCAATACATCTAGACCTTGCTCAAGAGTTTGCATAGGAAGAGTGTCATCTACAGTGTCTAGACTGTATTCCAAGGAAGCTAGTTTCCTCATCTCTCCATACGTTTTCCAGTCATGTAGTACAACAGATGTTAAATTGTAAAAAGTTTCACTTAAATGATGTTCAATTTTGTGTTTCATACTCTTGTAAAGATTTCCTAATAGAACAGGGTTGTCCTTGCCCAAGTTTAGTGGGTAATAATTTTCAAAAGGATCAATGGGTGGTAAGTGCAAATGCAAGTGAGTCTGCAATCTCAAATTTCCCTCGATTATTTGTGCAAAGGTCTTGTAGAATTCTTCTGTAATCATTTTATTAACAATTATAGTTGTCTTATTCCTGTTTACCTCAAGGCAATCATTGAGGGCACTAACAATGAGATAGTATCTAGAGTAATCTGTTTTTGAAGACTTTATCTTTTCAAAATATATTGGAATCATATAACCTTGATGCCAGTATAAGAAAGAACAATTACTAACAGACCTCAACAATTTTGTAAAATTCATAACAGTTTCCAGTTCTTGTAGAGTATACCTGATTTCTAACAGACTACTGCTTGAACCACATACAGACAGAGCTAAATTTGCAACAAGCAAGCTCTGTGGGGTACAACATTTTTTCAAAACCTGCTCACATATATTAAAAGCTGATAACACATCCAACTGATGCTCTTTATAAGATTTTTCTTGTGTGATATTTTTTTTAATAGCATGTAGCATTGTTAGTGCTTTGTATGATAAATGTTGAGTCACCATCAACAGTATATGTGAGAATTTTACCATGTTTCCAAATAAGAAGAAACTGAAACATTTGAGGACTTCAATGAGTTTACAAGCAGTTAAAATTTCAGTTTTAGTTATGGACAGTTTTTTGTCAGTTTTTAGATTTAATACCCATTTTAGCAACAAGTTAATTTTATCTACCAATTTGATTGCCTCTCTTATTAATGTGACAGCAGTTTGGAGTTCTTTGGATTTTAAATTTGCAGTAGACATTTTCACAATTTTTTCCATTTCTATCAATAAGTAACATGATTGGTAACACAAATGATTCAAATCTTTATAAAATCCTTTGGACTTTAATGTTATCTGACTTAACCTATAGTTTTCTATTGTTTTCTCATCTATGAGCTTTTCAAATGAGACAGCATGTTTCAATAAAAATTGTTCAGGATACCAGACATGATTTCCAATGAGTGTACAGCTAGAACGTTTTTTGTTCACTTCTAAGGCCCTTTTTATTACCTTTTTATCTGTATTGCCAAAAATGGTACTATGGAATGCTAAGAAAATATTCATTTTCCACCAGACTTCCATTTTGACACTTTCAGATGATTCTAATTCAGTCAACAGCATATCAACGTAAGATGATATTTCGCTACTCAAAGCGCAACTTTTGATTTTTAGATACAGATCTTTATTTTCCAAGCAATGTTCTAGTGTATCCTTTAATGTTGAGCCCATCAACAATTGTGACTCAATTAAAAGTAAAGTTTTACTAAATGCTACCAATTTGTTTTTATCAAACCGTTTACTATGAGTAGCATTTTTTATAATTTTACTATACATAAGCCACTGTTGCTTCAAAGTTTGTGATTCTAGAAGAGCATCAAATTTTAACAAACATATTAAGAGATCACCTAAAGAACTAAAGACATTATAAGACCTCCATGTATTGTTACTTTTATCTAAAACCATGCATAATTGCTTCAATGCTAAAACAACCACTTCTCTGATCCTTACAACAAAAAATTGAGTTTGTTGTAATAGTTTCAACATCTGCCCAATAAAGGCTGGATCAGGTTTGTCAGTTGCTTCTTTGTTGGAAAGAAATTGTATATACAAACAATTTGCTTCCTTGCTCAAACAGCTTATCTCATTGCATATAGTTGCAAAACAAGCAATTATTTGCCACAGTTTTTTATTGTCAGAGTTTGTGAGATGAAAAATAGATTCACTTGAATGAAGCTGTTCATTAAGCCATATTAGTTGGGAGTCTATTTTGTTTGTATTTGTGAACGATTTCTTCTGTGATATGATATTATGATTAACGTCTTCCAGAAACAATGTAAACTTGTGTAATTGAGTTTCTGCGATAAGCTTGTGTGTGTCCATGTTAAATTTCTGTTCGGCCGCCACTTGCCACATTTTCACGTATTGCAAAAACCCTGGAATCACAAAATTTTATGTATGAAAAGACATTTTTTCCTTTCCTGGCAGTATATATAAAAATCAAACTTGCCTGTTTTATTAGAATAGAAGTGGGAGTTTGTTCAATATATAATTCAAGGATATACAACCACAAATACTATTCCATTTCTTCAAGCTATGGGTGGCAAAAGCTTTTTTGAATATTTGAATGTTTACAAAAGCTAAAAGTTAAATGTTTTTTTACATGATTGTTTGACGTATCTGTATATTGAAGAATTAAGAAGTGGGGGTAGGATCAATGAATGAAAGGAATGAACACAGGAATCCGCTAATCACGTGGACCGCTAACTACGTCTCTTTGTGTATTATGGCGCAATTCCACTGAGGCAACTTTTGGGCAACATGTAGTATACAGCATTGGCGGCACACTGTCTTTCCATAGAGGCAACACAAAACGACAAAAAATATGTGACATGAATCCTCGTGTTGATCAGTGTCGCCGGCTACCCAAACCCGGTCGGATTGGTGTGACTTGGAGCAGGCAACAAAATGGAGTGGACCAATGAGAAAACATACATGATGTTTAATTGAATATTACCATCATTGGAGTGAATTATAGAACAACAAATCGGAAAAATATAAAGATGCGTGACCAAAGCAGGATAAATTACAGGAATTGTCAGGTAAATATAAGGTCAGGTCTTGTAGGATGATGAGGCAAACATAGTATGTAGACTTATTTATTAAATAGGAAAATACAACTGTTCGGTATTGGGAATTAAAAAAAATAAGAATTTGCGTTCGGCGTCCCCTCGGGAACGAAAAAAATTACGTAGAAAAAAAGAGTGGCTCATCGCACTGTAAGAAGGGGATATATACTTCTTCTCCAACATTCGCCTGAATTGAATCGTGAAGACGCATGCCTCACTCATGTACGACAAAGCGCATGCCACATAGAGGAACAAAATTCGCATGCGGCAATTATAGAATTTTGGGCACCACTGTCGAACGTCAACAAGAAGCAACACTAAGAAACAACTAGCATGCCACATGCTGTTCACTGTTGCCTCAGTGGACCAATGTTGTGAGGTTGTGACCCAGCTTAAAATGGCAACTGACTTTGACTTCGGTTCTGTCAGTCTGTCACTACTGTCGACTGTCTTGACTTTTTACATTGGCATCACGTTTTTATTCTACTCATCCTCATTACTGACCTTTTTGAGATTAACAAGGTAAACAAAAACGTAAACCTTATTTTCTGAGTTATATTAATTGAAATAATTTACAACAATTGAGAAAATCTAAACCATTGCTGATACTATGCAGTGCCGCTCTAACCTTGCTGTACATTACCTACTGCCGTAAACTTCATCTCACCAACCAAAGGTATCAGAAAAGGTAAAAAATAACTGAGAAACTACTCTTGTATCGTTCACATTTCCATTACACAACAGATGGTAGATAGATCCTCATACATAGTATCTTTAACTAGAAAGTAGTACTGTTAAGGTACAACATGGAGAAAAAGGATAAGATAACAAATAACATGGATAGTAGTCAAGGACCTAACCAAAACATTGCAAAACCTTCAGGCGGAGAGGTTGAAGATAAGACAAAATTATCTGGGGCAAGAAGAAGGCGCCTAAGGAGAATCTTAAACAGTGGAATCCCTTATGAGTTTGCTGTTCAGATGGCATATGAAGAAGAAAAGGAAGAAGCTGAGGAACGACAGATGAATGCAAACTCTTCTTTATCAGCTGAAGTTTCACGAAGAGGTTCAAAAAGCTACAAACATGTGCATAAGTCAGAGAACCTCAAGACAAATAATTTGTCTAGTGCTAAAAAGAAGAAGCAAGAAGAAATGGATGAAGCAACAGGTTCAGACATCAAGAAATGGAGATATATGTCTGGGACAGGTAGAATTCAGAATTCAAAAGATATACCTAACAGAAAAGGTGATTGGAGAGCTGGTAGTTCAGTACACATTAAGGAATATAAAGCACCTTTTATCCATTCTAGGTCATTTGCAGAAAGTAGTGCTTGGATAGGAGAGACTAAGAGGTCTATAATGGGTGACCAAACACACCCATGGAAATTTAATGATAATTTAAAATTTAAAACAACCACAGTAGCAAGAGGGTGTAAAAGAACTTTTAAAAAAGATAATTCAGACTATAGGGAGAGTAATTCGAAAAGAAGTAATCTAGCAATTGGTGAACATTCTCACCAATCTCCAAATTTCAAATTTGGTGCTTCAGCAATTAAGAACCCTAAAGATAAAATTTACTTACCTGTAAAATCTCCAAAGTCACATATGCAAAGTAATGATGTTCTCACATTTAAAGAATGTGAGGAGGTTAAATTAACTGGATCAACGCAAATAGATTTAAAAAAATTAGTAGCTTGTGGTGTCCCATACAAGACTACTAAGGAAAAGGTATTGAAAGACAAAGCTCAAATGAAGAGCACAGGACAAAAAAATTCTTCAATGGAGTTATCTGGATCTAGCAATCCAAGAGCTAGTCAAGTCAAGTACCATTCTACATCACCTTCAGATAGTAGTATTTCCAAACAAAACATCAAGAAGGGAACAAGATGGTCTAATAATGATGGTCAAGCAATAGAATATTCATTGAACAAATCCAACTTTAAAGTTGGGAACTCCAAATCATTGCTTTTAACAGATAATTCTTTTGGGCAAATTCTCAATAAGTGGCAAAAGCACCCTTCAGCTGCGTTGGCCAGTTCTAGTAGTAGTACTTTTATACCAAATATGAAATCCAGAAAGGATCTAAAATCTTTATATGTAGCAGGATTACTTCACCCAGAATATCCAACATCCATTTTCACTAGAGACCAGTTATTAACCCTTAAAGAGGCAGTAGTGGAAGCTGTTACATATATTCCTGATAACATACCACAAGAGAAGATGCATTGCATTCTGAGATATGGTTGGTTACAAATAACCTGTGCAGATGAGGCCAGTCTAAACAGTTTAGAAGGTGTGACTAAAAACCTACAGTCATATGGAATGTTAGAATTTGTAAAAGGCAAAGACCTACCAAATCCTCATGTCTGCGAGGCTTTCCTTCATGATGATGCAGAGGGTGAACACCTTATAGCACAAGATGTGTTAAAACGACTGGAAAGGATGAATGATGGTCTGGATACTCAGACATGGATTGTACTGGATCACATAATTTCAGGTCCAGGACAAATATGGACTTTTGCAATTGATGAAATGTCACTGCAAACTCTAACAAGAGAGAGCTTCAGGCTTTATTTTGGTTATGATAAAGTTCAGTTCCACCTGAAGTCTATGGTAGAAGAAACCATAGACTTAAGTGATGAAACTTCATCCAATATGTCTATAAATTCTACAACTGGTAGCAACTCCAAAGATGTCAGTACCCCTGAGGGTACATTATTGATGAAGGATTCTTACACTATGAAGTTTGAAAAAAGTTCTCCACATATGCCTAGGAACTCTGCTGCTGTTATATCTTGTAGCAACGCTAATATTGGAAATATCCCTGGGAGTGCATCACAGATGGGATTTGCCAGCACTACCAAGTATGGAATGAGTTCTTTACCATATATGCCTGTAAATTCTGCCACTTTTATACCTGGTGGCTACTTTGGAAGTGGAAATAACCCTGGGGGTACATCACAAATGAAATACTTTAGCAATTCCAACTATGGAATGAGTTCTTTACCATATATGCCTGGAAGTACTGCTGCTTTTATACCTGGTGGCTACTTTGGAAGTGGAAATAACCCTTGGGTTACATCACAGATGGAATACTTCAGCACTACCAAGTGTGGAATGGGTTCACCATATATGCCTAGAAATTCTGCTGCTGTTAAACCTGGCAGCAACTTTGGAAGTGGAAATACCCCTGCGTGTACATTAACGAAGAAAGATTCCAGCACTACAAAGTATGGAAAGAGTAGTGCTAAAGATATGAATCCCTTTTAATCACATTAAGAGGATGCAGTGTTGCAACGTGGTCTGGTCAGACCGGTGCAAGTAAATCTGCAAATAGTCAAGGACGTCATAATCGACCTTGACAAAATTGTTTAGGGTTGAAATCTAAATCACCCTCATCAAGGTACCTGGAACTCTCAACAGACATCATGTCAACTAACTGGTAATTCTTCAATGAGGTATGAGGTAATTTACTGATATTGATTTTTTTTTTGGAAACAACATCCACTTGTTTTTCTTCTTTCAGACTTCTGTAGCAAAAGACTCTCCAATTTGAGTAAAGCAGAGCTGTTATCTGCCTGATCATCTACCATGGAGATGCAGAAAGCCCTTTCTACTGCTTAGACGGTTATTGGGCCTGAAATATAGACCAATGCCTACTGCTGAGCACTCAGTAAGCTTTTGAATGCAATATGTTTTGGAGCAAGGTGTATATAACATACACGTGCATGTGCATTCATTTGGTCGTAAGTGGTTATTTTTGCAATGTATCAATGAATAAGGATTTGAATCATTTTAATGAATGCACAGTGTCCTCACTGGTATTATAATTTAAGTATGTCGAAAGTTAATCGGATTTTAAGCGAACAGTAATGCGTTGAGGGCGCTCGGTACTATAATATATCTTACAAGTAATAGAAAATAAAGTCAAAGGATGTTTTAGTAACTTCCAGTTGTTTTGTATGTTGGCACTATTGAGATAAGTGAAAATTAAAGGATTTTCAATTATCAAAAACCAATATTTGTATCCTTAATTTTTAAAATATCTCATGAAGTAAGTCAAAGAATTTCAAGAAGCCTTTTATTTGAATAGGTGGATTGATTAAAACTGCTATTGTGTTGGTACCATTATTGCTTTGACACTTTTTGCAGACCTTGTTTGCAGAATGTCACATCTTGGAAAAACCAGCTAAGAAAAAAAAGATAAAAATCATCATCTTATTTTCTAAGGAAGACCACACGTCGTTCTTTGGGATATGTGGGGCAAGATCTAGGAACTATGACGTAAAGCGTAAAAGACGCCAGTGGACTTTGAACGAAAAGCTAATGTCATCCCACTATCTGTTTTCTTTCTCTTATTGTGGCGGGCCCCAAGCCCTCCCTAGATCGGCATCTGACTCTGGCTTATGCATGCCATGGAAAGATATTCAGGCCTGAGCATTTATTGATCAGTGACAATTATTACGAAGTCAGCAGAGGCTTTTTGATGTAATCGCGAAACTCTGTTGATGTACATTGCGGTCCCAGGAGGTTTCGCCTGATGAAGTACGCGATGCTTGTTTCAAGGAATTTTCTGAAGAAGAATTTTCCGAAGATCCACTAATGTAGTAGTAGTGGTGGGGAGGCGAAGCCTGGCAACTAGGTCACCTTTGATCCTTTTTATACCTCGTTTGCAAAAGGTTATGTCTACCCTTCTATCATCTTGGAAAAAATTATCGTCTCATTTTCTAAGGAAGACCATACGTCGTTCTTGTCAGTTGTATCTTTGGGTACGTAAGACAAGATAACATCGGTGATGAATCGCTTTGTTATGTGTTAAATCTAGTCATTGTCAGATCTAGAAACTTTGACGTAAAGCGTAAAAGACGCCAAGGGGTAAACAGTGTATTTCGAACGAAAACTGATGTCATCCGATTGCTAGTCTGTTTTCTCTCGCTGTGGCGGGCTATACCCCCCAAGCTCTCCCTAGATCGACATCCGACTGTGGCACTCTGCATGCCATAGGAAGATATTGAGGCCTGAGCATTATATTGATCAGTGACCATTATTACGAAACTATGTTGACATACAATGCGGACTCAGGACGTTCCGCCTAATGTAATACGCGATGCTTTTTTTCAAGGAATATACTGAAGAAGAATATTCTAAAGATCCACCAATGTAGTAATAGTGGTGCGAGGCGAAGCCTGGCAACTAGGCTACCTTTGACCCTTTTGGCCTACCCTGCAGTACCAACACTTCACTACCCCACGAGCCATCTACTGGTAACTGATATAATAAACTAGCTCCAGCGATGAGGCGTACCAGTTAATATTGCACCACTTGCGTAAAATACACAACACAATATCAATGGCCAGGAAATAACTTTCGAGGCGTAGATTCGAACCCGCGATCCCCGGCTTGCTAGCTCGGCATTGGCCCTACATCTATTTAAATCATGTTGGCTTCTAATGCACCAGATGCGGGATGGCAAGGCGGCACAGCTGCTAGGCAATGAAGCTCTGGGAGAGTATCACTCTGCTCTTTTACAGCGTCTTGTTCTCCATTCCTTCGCTACTGGCTGACAAGCACAAATAACAGACGTTCATCAACAGCTACATTGTTTAAAGTTTAATGGCAGATCTCCGTCTCGTGGCTTCCTGACGAGGTTTTGCAGATAGTTTGCTGACTTAACCTCCATGTATAATCCGCAATCCAGTCCATATCTTTGTGGGTGACATCACTTTGTATGCAGGCATCCAGACACGTGCAGGTTACCACTGCCGAGCTTTGCCAGGACACCATTCGATGTAGCATGTTGGAGCATAACTTGTCACACATGTATTTCGTCTATCGTGGTAGCTGCTGGGAAGAAGTCGAGATAATTTTTTAGGACTAGGAAGTACTTTCTGATATCTAACCTCCCGACTTACAAGGCCCAGGCAGAGACCAGATATAACTCAGCGCAGCGTAGTGTTCGGTACCAGTATTATGTAAAATAATCGCTATGATAGTGACCTGATCGCCATACTTGTCACTTGTGTACTAGCTAGTCGCATCTACTCTCTGTGAACGCAACCTAGGAAGGAATGGCACAATGAACATCATTCCGGCAATGGTATAGACAAAATTGCTTAGGCCATAGAAGTTATAAATGGTTCTCGCTAATGCCATCTCTGAAGCGCAGATTACATTAAAGCAACAACACATAGCTCAAGTTAACGTTCAGGCAACACACACAGCTACTACAATGACAACTAGTTTCAAAGTGATAATAATGGCGTAAACCGACGAGATGTCTGTGATCGAGCTTTCTTCTACCTACATGCCATCAAAAACTAGGGTAATTAATTTGGTTCTCATGTTCGATACGCTATACGAACGTGTTTTCACGGTTATCAGTGCATTCATTTTATTTTCAGGTTGATATTGAACAGGTATGTTACCTTTTATATTATTGGTTCTAGGCAGAGATATCTTCCCCAGAGGTCATTATTTTGAGTGTGTTCACTATTGCTGTCCAGAATGCCTAAAATAGTTTCTCGGAGTATAGCTTGTTCAGACATCAAAGACCAGGAGGAATATGGCGATGAAAAACCATTACATATTTACTATTGTATCTGCGGACAAATGACTTTAATTTTGGGTAAGTAGTATCTATCTAGGTCAGTTTTAAGATTATAAACATAATATGTAGCTCAGATCCAAGGATGGTATTTCTCGAATCCTTCAAACGATTTCTTAAAATGGTATACGTCAAGCTTCTCGTGTGAATGTCTATTATAGAACATACGTGGTGGGAAAAAACGCCAAAAGCACTGCAAATAGTTTATTCAGATTGATTGAGTGTTTATTAAAGGAGATAGTTATTATGACTTCATAAAATATTTCTTTTATTCAATCGCAGTTCGATTTCTTTGGAATATGTGCTCAAGAATATGAATTTTATCGGACCGCTCGCATTTTTATGAGCAATTCACACGAATGCGAAGGATCGGTAATAGACTTCCTGGTTAGAAGCTCGCTGTTGGAAATCATATTGCTTTCATAAGTAAAATATAGATAAATGATACAAACTTGTTTTATAGACTGTTCGATAGAAAAACTGCCACTTCGCAAAAGGGATGGAGCCAGAGTTTTGGATGGTGCAAATCATGCACATAAGATAACTTGTGATTTAGATGAAACAGTACATATTAAGAGAGCAGATGGGATTGAAAGACAACATCGACTTAAATGTAAAAAATGCGGATTACTTCTGTACTATAAACATGATCCCAGTTCTTCAGTCAGTTTTATTGGTAAGAAATATCTCAAAATAAAAGACAAAAAATCTGTTGGTATATTGGTATAGAGTTGTCCATGGTTATACGAACCTTGTGAATTACGTGATGAGATCGGCAAAGTAGCGTTCGATCAGGCAAGACTGGAGATGAAGGGCTTGGAGGGCAGAGAGGGGAACATGTGATCCGTCTTCAGTACAAGTTTAACCTCGTTCGAGTCATTTGGTTGTCCGTAGCTTTTTTTTATAAAACAGTTTCTGATATTGTGTTCAAAAAATGAGTCACATGGATTTCAAGCACCATGTGCTATCAGGTTTTGCGTCAGACTTGGGCACAATGCAACGGAAACTCTTGCTAAACTTCAGCAGGCCTATGGAGATGTGTTTTGTCAAAAGCCTAGATTTTTCGGTGGTTTAAGGCATTTTCAGAAGATGAACCACGAAAGCCTTTATCTTCATGAATCGATCAAAATATCGACAGAATCCGTGATCTCGTGTATTCAGATCGTCAGCTGACAGTCAGAATGATTGAGGAACAGTTAAACCTGACTCGCACCATCGTTCATCAAATCAAGAACAACTGGGTGTTGCATCACAGTAGTGCTCCTTGTCACGCAGCAATGTCAATAAACGAGTTTCGAGCCAGTAAGAACATTTCTATGGCTCCAAAGCCTCCTTATTCGCCTGACTTGAGTTCTTGTGACTTTTTTCTCTTTCCAAAGTTGAAAAATCACCTCAAGGGAACTCAAAAACATTCAAACAGCTGAAAAAAAAGGCCTCGTAGGTGTCTAGTTTGTTGATAAGTTATTTTACATTTCAGTAAATGGCTCTTTGATAAAAAGCTCACGAGAAGGTCCAATCAGCAATATTTATAATCAAGTTGCAGTTGAGAAACCAAAGAAGATTATGGTCACAAAGCATACGAAGAACATGGGAAAATTCAGTTCAGTTACAGTTTCTACTATTGACGAAGAGGAAGATGAAATTGAAGCTGTGAGTTATGTAACCTCAGACAAAAAAAAATACGCACAATAATTATGGAAAAATATTTCAAGGGAATTATCTAAATTATAGAAGCTTTGGGCCCATGGAGTTTTTTCTGTGTAAAAACTGAACCAAATGACAAAGTACCAGACACAAAGTATATGGAATTTGACCCCCCATACCTGTCAATTTTAAAGAAAATTTGTATAGTGATAGTTCATGTTATTCCAATGTACCAATGGGCGTAAAGCCCAGAGATGATTTCTATTAGAGATACAGGGTGTTAAAGTTTGGTGCCTTAGCCCCTGTGGGTATGCTTGCCTGCACCATTTTACTAAAACTTGCTCGTCTTTAAACATTTACAACATATAGGAAGATGGAAAGTTGTTCAATAGAAAAACTATAAAAGACATTCAAAAACGTTTTGAGCAGCAAGATTGGCATCTCATTGGTGTGTTTTTCTAAATTATTTGGAAATATATAGGGTGTTGCACAATTTAGTGTCACAATAAAATTGAACACCCTATATTATATTGTATGTTTGGAAAGACCTTTCGAATACAAGAATGTTGATATAATACATTGTAGAGTTTTAATCATCATTATTTGTTTATTTATTTTATCATTTGTCTGAAGAAATGCCTATGCTTGAAGGCTTTGGCTCTTGTCATTTTGCATAGTATTTCGCTGAATTTTGGAAAGAGGATGATCATGTATGTCAACTTTATCAGAGTGTCGCAAAAGTTGCATTTTTCAATAACTTTAAATAGAAGGCGCCATATATTTTTACACCATCAGATTCACGTTTTTATAAGTTTCTTCTCATAACATTTTTTATGCCTGGCAATTTTCAGAAAATTTTGCGCAAAGATATTTTGACAAATTTTGACAATAAACCTAGTGAATAACTAATACTTATACAGGGTGGAAAATATATAACTGACTGATTTAAATTGCGCGCCATTTTTGATACACGCATTTCAGTAGGTGGCGCCGAAATAGTTCTTTGAAGCCCTTGTGTCCAATTCATCATGGAGTGCTACACGATCCTACAATGCGCCCGTATTGTTAAAACGTTTTACTTAAATAATGAGCAGATTTTTGCAACGATTCGGAATCTACGGTAAGCTTTAGGTCGAAATAATGTGCCCAGTGTCAACACCATTTGTCAGTTGGTGCGGAAATTTGAACAAACTGGTGAAGTTAAAGACTTGCCAAGGTCGGGCCGTGTTCGTAAAAGTGTAGTGGAGCGCCCTGAGACGTCTACCAGACATCGTTCTCAAGAACTGCGTATTCGTCGCACTAAGATTTGCATTTGCGGCCATACAAAATTCTGTTAACCCAAGAACTATTTTTACCAACAACTGATAATGAGCGATGAAGCGCACTTCGATATGAACGGATTTGTTAATAAGCAGGATTGTCGTATCTGAGCATTAGACCTTCGTGTCATCCATCAACGACCACTACATCCTCGTCGAGTGACAGTTTGGTGTGGTGTGTGGTATGGACGTGTCATTGGACTTTACTTCTTTGAAGGCGCTGCAGGTAATTCCCTTACTACTGTCACTGGCGAGCGCTACCGTCATAATGGTGCAAAACTTTCTGACTCCTCAAATCCAACAATTTAACCTGCACAACATGTGGTTCCAGCAGGACGGAGCAACTTGTCACACAGCTAGCGAACAATTAATCTTTTGCGAGCAATATTTCCGGGACGTTTAATTTCTCGATTTGGTGAGGTCAACTGGCCACCAAAGTCACTTCATGGGAATTTTTGAAAAATAGGGTTTATGCCAACAAACCAAATCCTGTAGAGCAGCGGAAGAACAATATTACGGAAGCGATTGAAAATATTCCTCCTGAAACCTACCAAAAAGTGATGGAAAATGTAGTCAAGAGGGCTTAGGTTTGCGCGGCTTCTATAGGCGGACATTTGTCTGATATTATTTGTCATACATAATTTCTAATTTTCAATAAAAAATTAAGATGGAAAAAATGTACGTATTATATCGGTTACATATCGGCCACCCTGTATTTACGAGTTTCAACATCCTTTTCGGCATTTTCAGGATATCCAATAATTGGAGAGAAGATTGAGAAAAAACAATATAATTTTATCAAAAAGAAACTGAAAACTCAATCAAGGGAATTGAAAGATATTTATTATAGACTGAGATATTAGAGTTGTGATAGAGTGGTCTCTTACTGCTCCATATTCAAATCATAATCCCAGTTATTGAGGTATATCTTGAAATGTTTCAGAGAGAAGTCGCTGACAGCTATGCTAACAACGCCCGCATAATAGAAAAGCAGTTGGAGAGGAAAGGGATGACGAAAAGGAAGCAGGAACAGGGGAGAATTCAAGACATAAAAAAAGTTCGTGGTACCTTGATAGACAAGTGATAAGACCTTATAGTGCGCATTTGTATATATATTTTGCATATTAATAGTATCTGAATTTTTTTTGTGAATGTTCTTTTATATAAAGCTGGTGGTAACTTGACAGATACATGAACAAGCATCATTGTATTGCGTATTTGTAACTATTTTCAAATTTTATTGGTATAAATCGGAGAATGATAGAATATTTCATAGACTTATTTTTTGTAGAATATAGTTAAGTATTTTTTTTCAAAACAGAATTGCATTCAAGAATGTGATTGTTTTGAACGTTATTAGTTTTACGGTTTTGCAATTATTTTTATGAATGCTGTTTATGTAACGTGTATGAAATTCATGAGAAAAATAAAGCAACATTAAGTGTATTGTCCTTTGTTTCATTTAACAAAATAATTTTTCAGATGAGATGTTTATTCTGAATTTGATCACGAGTCAACAAACACAGTTCTCAGAGATATCCGAAGCGTCAAAAGGTAAGATCTGTCATGTTATTGGAAACAAAGGTTACAGAAGGTGATCGAAAATGATCCTTGCGATTATTTTTTTTCGAGCTTGTCGCTTGGCCCACATACAGTATACTGACATCTTAACACTTATAACGATTACTTTGTTTTACTTTATTCTGAGTTTCTAAAAAACACCTATTTTATCTGCAATAAATTTTTATACCATTTGGTTTTTCCATCACTTCCATTATCAGGAAAATCTCAATCATTTTTCCGGACCGCACATCTTTGATCAAACGACACAACACTGATAAGTATCATGCTTATTTTGTTGGAACTTGTAAAAGGTCTCAAATTCCAAGACTTTCCAGAACATAATATGATGCACAACCAGAAAATGCGAAACTGGAACTGTATGCCAGTTCGTATTGCTAAGAGGGTCACCACTGTGGCCGCTAGATGGCGTCAATTCCGGCACTATAGTACATACTGGCTATCCGCCATTGAACAAGAATACTTTGTGCTGTCTTATTTCGATAGACCTTAACCTCTGAATAGAAAAAGTTGTTCAGCTTTCGTTCGATGTCATCGTCCATCGGGACCAAGCCTACACGATGCTGAATACAAAGGGTACTATAAAAGTTTTGCAATACAGCTTTATTTATTCACTTCGTTCAAAGTAATTTCCACCACATTCAATACTCGTACACTTCTCCAATCCTTAAACCAGCTCTGCCAAATTTTACCCGGGAGTGCGGCACACTCATCCCAAGCCCTCAAAAGGTCATCATCGCTAGAAAACCGTTTTCCTTTTAGCTTCATTTTCACAAGCGGAACTAGTGCAAAGTCGCAGGGAGGACTCTAAGGGGATGATCAATATGTTTCGCAGAGAGGACTCGAAGGGGGTGATCAATATGTTTCAGTCCAGTAGTGGTCAAATACTCGGTGAAGGGTTTGGCGCGGTGAGAGCTGTTGTTGTGGTGGAGGTACCAAGTGTCCATTTTGTCTTTGGCCGAAGGTTTTTATAGACTATGACTAGGCAGGTACTGTTCCCTATACCAATTAGCTGTGACTGTCTTCTGTGTGTCCAAAACGACACGCTCCACAATCACGCTAGATTTGAAAAAATACAGCTACCATTTCTTTTGCAGATCGGGATTTTCTTACAGCTACGGGTGTGTCCTCACCATCAAAGACCCAAACCTTGTTTTGAGCCTTGGTCGGCACATCCTAATAATAGAGCAAAATCTCGTCACCTGTCACGATGCTGTTCACATACCGAGATCGCCCCTTATCAAACATTTTCTTCCGTCAGACTATACGGTACCCAGAGAAAACAAAGCTTCCTTACGTGTAAATGGTCATGCAGAATTGAATGAATTGCTGGTGCATGAAGGTGTAAGGTCTCCTCTATCTGTTGGTCTGTCAGTCTCCGGTCTTCGTCAACCATTTTCCTCACAGCAGTAATGCTTTCCTCTGATATTGACACTCGAAGCCTTCCTTCCCTCTCAGCGTCCTTCAGAGTGAAATTGCCCCTTTGGAATCCTCTGTACCACCGGAATATAGTCATATGGTGAGGAAAATCATTCTTTAATGCAAGCGTCATTTCTTCTAAGCACTGATCTATGCTTAAACCACTCGTAAAGTTATACCGTAAAACTGCTCGTATCTCACCACGTGACCACGATGCCATAGTCCGCACTTTACAGTCTTTACACCGTCGATACGAATGAACAACTAAATCAACAGACGTGCTGCTGGCGAATACTATTTACTCAAGGACATGTCTCAACATGCAGCCTCATGCGTCCGTTAGTTATTTCATATTGCAAAACTTTTATAGTACCCTTTGTAGTTGTCAAATATCAAGAAAAAGCTGTCCATGGTTGGCCATCTGTGGTCGGTCGAGCGAAAGCTATAGTACTCATATATTGCTTCGTAAGGTCTACACTAAAGAAAATTTGTAATCAAAAGCTCGTACAGGTAATGCAATAAGTTCTTTAAATGCAAGCAAAAGTAAAAATATCGTGGTATAAATATGTCGTGCTAGCTTTTCTAATGAACGTGCACTAAGCGGGTGTGTTTCAGCAAACGAGCAAAAGCGGTGCGGGTTAGCGTATGATACATCAGCCACCGTGGAGCGGTCGTCACCACAAAATGTCACTACTCTTTTCAGTTCCGGAGTCGGTATACTATTCTCGTACTCTCGGAAGAGCTGATCCTTTTAGCACTTGACTGGGAGTTCCAAATATTGCCTTCGACAGGAACACGCGATTCCTAAGCGATCCCACCACCACCACTCCGGTCCAGATACCTTCACTCTATCCGGCCGTGGCGGCGCGTGGGCTGGACGATCCGGTAACAGATGTTCCTCGGACACAACCTCCGCCCACTAATTTTGCCCTTTAAAGTTTCGCGTGGTCCCCCCTCGGAATGTTGACCCGCCGAAAAGTGGTGTAAGCTAATAATTCCATTTAGGTTTTACGAGTCATCCACTATTTGTGGTTTCATCGGTGGGACCTTGACCTGAGGTCACAGGACGGCTTTTGGGCTCTTCGGTATATTTGTGTTCTTCCTTGAGATGCCTCCTGACCACCCCGACAAATGTCGATGTCGTCAGTCGGCCTGCTCGTTAGTGCCATCTAAATGCCCCCACCTCAAATGAAGTCGGTGCATTCAGCATGGCAAATTTTCGTCGTCTGACCAACCGAGGCACAGCACAGGGCTTTGCCTCTTCTGCATGCTGTACGTTCCTCACGAGAGTTCTATCTCTCTTCTTAAAGGTTGATTCTCACTATACATTTCGTTTCTATTCCGTAACCGTTCCGTAAATTATTGAAATTAAATATTCGCCTTCCCAGCAGGCTATTGCGTGTGTATGCACATTATCCGTAAGGTATACTGTGTATACAATAAAATTGTACTGAACGTTTACGAAACTGATATGGAATGGAAACGGAATGTATAGTGAGAATCAACCTCAATCCGCGACGACAGTTCCGAAACGTGGAATTTATATCCAGAGGCGTCGGCATACGCCACGACGTGACGCTACTAACATGATTTGTTGTTGGGAAATTTACTGTGCTAGCATGATCTCGACCAGTGCCCCTATTCTTGTCTTTAATAGAAAATCACAGTCCCTCTCCTTTTCAATTCCCCCGGTTTTCTATCGATTCGAAAATACTATATTCTTGAAATGACTCGATAGAAAGGAGAAAGGAAATCATGACACAGGGTTGCCAGGTTACCAATCAAAATGGAGATAATTTTGACAGTCAAATGCTAACCAAGGATTTTGGTTAAGATTTTCTACTTATAATTTTATCTATGGAGCCGAAAACTTAAAAAAAAAACACATTAGAAACGAATGACAAAATGATTGGAATTTCTCCGAGAGCACCCCCAAATGCACCAGGGAAAATTCAATCATAGATTGAAGGATACTGATACTAGAATGACTAAAACTTGATATCTAATCTTTGTTTTGATCGAAAGTGCAGAAGCTCGTGGGGGTGGTTGTATGAATGGAGTCAATATCTCCAGCAATTCAAACACCAAATCTTTGGTCAACCTAAACATCTGTAAAAATTTTCGACTCGAAATTATGAAAGGATCTCGGTGCCCAAGAATATCTGTCCCAATCTCCCATTCCTCAACTGCCTCCTCTACATCCTCGTTAATAATATCAATTGATCGAAATTATCCATTTTTTGCAATATGTTTAGCAGGAACGACACTAACAATGCCAAACACGCAATTTTTAGGTTATAGGGTTCAGGACCTCTATTCTTGAGTTTGAGGGAGTAGAAATTGTGAGAGAAAGTGGCAAAAAGTGGGTGTAGCCAAGAAATGCAGTATTCTTGAAATCAATTCTACCGAAAAGTGATAGAAATGAATTCACTTTAGGGAGTCGCGATTTCTCTAGGTACCAACCAAGAAAAACTGAAAAAACTAGTAGAAAATAGCGCTATATAGTCTAAAAATTGACGTGTTTGGCATTGTTATTGGCGTTCCTGCTAAACATGTTGCAAAAAATGGTTAATTTCAATCAATATATTAAATATTGGAACGATATGTAGAGAAGGCAGTTGAGGAATGGGACATTGGGAGAGATATTTTTGGGTACCGAGATCCTTTCATAATTTCGGATCGAAAATTTGTACAGATGTTTAGGTTGACCAAAGATTTGGTGTATGAATTGCTGGAGATATTGACTCCATTCATACAACCACCCCCACGAGCTTCTGCACTTTCGATTAAAACAAATGCAAGAGTAGATATTAAGTTTTGGTCATTCTATAATAGTATCATTTAATCTATGATTGAATTTTCCCTGGTGCATTTGGGGGTGCTCTCTGAGAAATTCAATCATTTTGTCCGTTTGTAATGCGTTTCTTTAAGTGTTCGGCTCCATAGATAAAATTATAAGGAGGAAATCTTGACCAAAAGCATTGGTTGGTTTTTGACTGTCAAAATTATCTCCATCTTGATTGGTTTAACACGTTTACTCAAATCTGGCAACCATGTTTTGATTTCTTTTCCCCTTCCTATCGAGTCCTTTCAAGAATAGAGTATTATCGTCGTTGGTATTATCGAAACGATAAAAAACCGGGCGAATAGAAAAAGAGGGGAGTGTGATTTTCTATTAAAGTCAAGAATAGAGGCACATAAGTCATCGTCACGACTGCTTCTCGCTGTGACGTCACACCGTCGATTAGAACCCGACGGAGGCGCGCCGCGACTCCGGCATCATGAATTTCGGGCACTCACATGTGCTATCATCATATAATATACTTATTTTCTGATCTTGTTCGTGTCTGTTGTTTTTTAAGGTACGACATACATTCCTGTATTGTGTTACCAATCACTAACTTAGTAGTTATGTGTAAGAGTAGCGAATGCTAAACTTCGCCAATCAGTTTGTTTCTAAATAAAGACGACTGTTATTATTATTATTATTATTATTATTAACTTCTCTTGCTTAGACATACGTAATCGTGGGCGCTCATATATGCATGCTGAATACCTTATCAAAATCTACTGTCTTCATGACTTCTGTCACGACTTTTGACGCGAGCGAAGCAGAAAACAAGATTCCAGTACATTTCTCAATTCTTAGTGGATGCATGCGATGGACGATCCTTCTTGCCGAGATTTACAAAATCACAGCAAAAAACCTTTGCAGTACTATCCAGACGAATATGTAAGTACGTAGCATCGCACCGTGAACAAAACAAAAGGATGATAATCAGAAATTGAGTCGCATTTAGAGGAGTAATCATTCATAGAAATGTTCATTGTTTTCATAAATACAACTATGCTTTAACCAAGAGACACCAAGCGCGGATCCCGGGGGGATCATGGAGGTCATGACACCCTTGGGCAAATCTAGTTTGACGACTAATATTTATGAGTTGCGAATCTTTTTTATAAATTCAATAAAATACTTTTTGCAAATATGTAATGGATGCAAACGGGTAAAAAATGACCAGATTTGGTTAAAAATTACCACACCTGGAAACCCTGATCAATTTCTAAGCGCATCAATGATGGCGTACAAATATGAGGGTTGCGTAAGTCTGGTTGCCTATACGTTAAGCTTTACACAAATATAAATAAACTAGTGACTCTGCGTTTTTCGGCTTGGTAGCATTGCCTATCCATTATTGGGAGCAGCCTCATGTGTTTTTGTGATTAAGGTAGATAATTGAAAATTCAGACATTTGAACAGGAATATAAGTAAAAAACATTTCGCGCGAGCCTTTAACGCTGTGAGCAAATTTGTTAAATATATATATACAGGGTGACTTCGAAATTGAGTCATTTATTTTAACAGTGAGTAGATCTGATCAAAAGAAATGTTTTTTTCCTTTACCATTTTTCTGGTAAAATTAAAGTAACAAAGTTATAGCCCTTTGGAAGTTTGAGTACCGCCCTGCCTATTATATGCTCGTGTTTGGCGACAACGGATATAATCCGCTTGACCGGTTCATCGCATCGGAAACAAAAAAGCGAAAGAATTTGAAACGTTTATCACGATGTTTTTCGTCAGTCGATAACGCGTAAGTGAATAGTAGTGTGTTGCGTGGCTCAAACGAAATAAAAAATGGCACATGTTTACGAAAATGCTGAACTTGTGGACATGATTCTTATTTACGGGGGGGGCAGTCTTTACAAAATGCTCCCGGATGCATCACGGATTTATGCGAATCGGTTTCCCAATCGAGTGCAACCAACCCCTCGTGCCTTTGTTAATGTAGTGCAAAGGGCTCGTGAATCAGGTGACTTAAGACCTCACAGGTGAGGGCATGCTGCTCCAAGACCGCACGATCAAATACAGGTCCGCACTGAAATACTTGTCGGGAGGATACTTTATTAAACAAGGTAACATTTTTTTTTTATTTTTTTTTTTATTTTTACACACATATTTTGGTTTATCTTCCTTCTACAATCATTATCTGAAAATTAATGACTCAACTTCAAAGTCACCCTGTATATATATGTATATATACAGGGTGACTTCGAAGTTGAGTCATTTATTTTAACAGTGAGTAGATCTGATCAAAAGAAATGTTTTTTTCCTTTACCATTTTCCTGGTAAAATTAAAGTAACAAAGTTATAGCCCTTTGGAAGTTTGAGTACCGCCCTGTCTCAATAACAATATTATGTGGTCGTGTTTGGCGACAATGGATATAATCCGCCGTATCGGTTCATCGCATCGGAAACAAAAAAGCGAAAGAATTTGGAACGATGTTTTTACAGGTATCTCATTCATTTGTATACAGTTAGTGTCAGTGAATAGTGGTATGTGTTGCGTGGCTCAAACGAAATAAAAAATGGCACATGTTTATGCGGATCGGTTTCCCAATCGAGTGCAACCAACCCCTCGTGCCTTTGTTAATGTAGTACAACGGGCTTGTGAATCAGGTGACTTAAGACCTCACAGGGGACCTCACGATCAAATACAGGTCCGCACTGAAATACTTGTCGGGAGGATACTTTATAAAACAAGGTAAAAAATTTTTTTTATTTTTACACACATATTTTGGTTTATCTTCCTTCTACAATCATTATCTGAAAATTAATGACTCAACTTCAAAGTCACCCTGTATATATATATATAGTAGTTCATGCATTGACACTTACATTTGTAACTTATCATGATGGTATCGTCTCAGTTTAGTCATGTACAGGGTAATTCCCAAACATGGGGCAAGAATTCAATGGAAGACTATTCTGAAACTACATATATGTGATCTTCTTTGGGAAATACCTCTTGATTCCGGAGAAACAGACTACTGAAGGAGACGTCGTTGGAATTAGGTTTTTCTTAAATAATTTTGACAAATCGTCGCTTAAGTTTTAACATCGCGTAATTCTCATAGAGAATCCAAAAATCCGGCGTTTTTTTTTATTTTCTATTAAAAAATTGTACACGGTTAGGGTCACTGCCACCCCCCCCTCTTCAATTTTTAATGCCTTTTGAATGTTTTCGACTGCCCAATATAAGTTTTTTTCAACTTCGGAAAGAAAAAAAAGAACTCAAGTCATCAAGTCAAGCGAATAAGGAGGCTGATGAGACACATGAATGTTTTCATTGGCCAAAAACTTGTTTACTGACATATTGCTGTGTGACATTATCGTGATGCAACATCCAGTTGATCTTGATCTGATGAAGGGTGAGTGAGTCAAATTTAACTCTTCTCCGACTGTCAGCCGACGCTCTGAATGCACAAGATCCCGGATTCTGTCGATATTTTCATCGGTTCTTGAAGATGAAGGCCTTCCGCTTCGTGGTTCATCTTCAATCGACTCTCTAGATTCTGGGCTTTTGACAAAACACTATCTCCGTAAGCCTTCTGAAGTTTAGCAAGATTTTTTGTTGCACTGTGCCCAAGTCGGAAGAAAAACCTGATAGCACACCGGTGCTCGAAATTGATGTCACTCATTTTTAAAAAACAATAGAAAACACTGTTAAAAATCGCTACGGACAACCAAATGAGTCGAGCGAGTTCAGACTTGTAATGAAGTCGGATCACATGTTCCCCTGTCTTCCTTCCATACCCTCCAGTGTTCAGTCTCACCACTCAATTTAGATACCTCGTTCATAATTTCACGTGGGGATTACCAATTTTTTACTATCACGTGTATTATGAAAGTCAAGACCATCAGTCTGTATATTGCCGATTTAGCACCTGATCAATTTCAGCAAAAAAGTAATATCTAAAATTTTTCGAAAGTCGGCTATAAATCAAATTATCGAATTTTAAAAGTGTTACATTTATCCCTAAAAAAGGGACTTTCAGAGGCGGTGGAAATAAAATCGCTGTATGCGTTGAATGGTTGTGAATTGTTGCATATTTGGTGTCAGTGAATGACTTTCTATTATTGAGAAGCAGATAGTCTCGGTGATACTATGCATCCGTCAGACATAATAAGGCACAGATACTTTCCCTGCATCTGGCATGGAAACAGAAATAGTACATTTGCTTTCTAAGTTGAGTCATTTATCTTAATAGGTTGTACAACTGGTCAAAAGAAGTTGATATACAAAAAATCACCTATATAAAAGTAGCATAATAAGAGAGTTAGTTTACATTATTGAAAATTATTTTAAAAAATCATCAAGTTAAATGGTAAGGTTTTTACAAAAACTGTTCAAAATTGTCCTATGTGTCCGATTAACGCAATATCCTGATCGGCGAATCCACGACTCTTTAGAAAGTTGAAATGAAATCCTGGTATCCACGAATTGAATCACAAGCATTTTCAGTTAGCTGTTGAAGTTCTTCCAGAGTATTAACTGCTCCATCATGATACACCACATCTCTTTCAAATAGCCCCACAGCGGCGTTAAATCCCGGGAGCGAGCAGGCCAAGAAATGGGTCCATTGCGCCTTATCCATCTATTCGGAAACTAATTATTTAGATGTCCGTGAACTTTTCGTCTAAAGTGTGGTGTAGCCCCATCATTTAGGAACCACATATTCTGTATCACATTTAGCGGAACATCTAATACTTGTGGCAGATTGTGTCGAAGAACATTTAAATAAATTTCACCGGTCAGTCGAGCTGGAAAAAGTAGGGTCAATAAAGCACGCCATTTACCACGCCAGCCAAACATTTAATGATAATCTATATTGAAAATGAGTTCTTTTCACAGCATATGGATTTTCTACTGCACAAACATGATTGTTGTGGAAATTGTGCACTTCATTTCGTGTAAGTGTGGCCTCGTCTGTACACAAAATTAATTTCGTAAAATCTTCATTTCTGCCGAACTGTACTAAAAACCACTGGCGAAATGCAACTCTTCTAGGATGATGTTCAGGTTATAATGCTTGTACCCGTTGATAATGACAAGGATAACACTGTTCTTGTCGTATTGTCTTCCACACTTTATTATGAGAAACTTCAACTTGAGCTGCTATGGCTGTAGTACTCATTGTTGGGTCGTCTTCGACCATTTCTAAAATGTCTTCCTCAATTTGTAAAATTTCAGATTGAGCTGTGTCTTCTAGCGTAACCTTGTTGTTCTTTTAAATATCCTGTGATGATTTCTTAAAGGAACTCTTTTTGTAAACGAACTTGCATGCTGCAGCTGCATTTTATTGGCACTCTCCGTATGTTAGTATTATGTCCACTAGTTCATTGATTTCGTACACATGGGCCCTTTTTTGCACAAAATAATCAGACAAATAAAAGTATACGCACTATTAAAAGACTGATACAACTGATCGAACCAAAGCCACGTACTAAAAACCATAAAAACACAAAAAAGTTTTTCAAATTTAGGTAAACGATAAGAATAGGAAACAAAAAACGCTAAGATTTTACATGGCAGTGGTCGAGAATACCAAAAAATCTGTATACTAACATTCTTATTTTTTTTAATTTTCAATCTCTTGCTATTTCTTTTATTATGCAATTTTTATATACGTGATTTTTGGTATATCAACTCCTTTTTGATGAGTCCTACAAGCAGTTAAAATAAATAACTCAACTTTGAAAACACCCTGTCTAGTTTGATATGCAGAGATCAAAGATTTATCGTGCCTAAGTGAACCTACCTAATCATGATAGTTATTTCAAATCATAATTATTGTCCTTTTCACTGTCCCGCACTGTACAATGTTTTTAGGAATGTTCTGCATATACTACAGCCCAGAGGCATTTATCTAATGAGAAACCGAACTATGTGTACTGTCAAGACAGCTTTCGAAGATTAATAAATACCTCAAATCATTACACGGATAGAAAAAGCCCCATTTATGTCCACAAATATGAAAAAATGCCGAACACTATTCAAGAAACCTCGCATCAGAGCAGGAATCCCAGAACGAATCCTAAAGTGATGCTGGACAAACTGGAGGAGAACTATTGGGCCACGTGGAAGCCTAAAAATACCTTTAAGACGAGTAAAAATGTGGCTCATGGAGATACCCATGAGACTTTATTCAAATATTTAAATAGGTTAGTTTCGTTCGTTGTCTGGATACACAGGGTGTCCCAAAAGTCATGAAGTAAACGAAAGGGCGTAATAGGAGAGGTCATTTGCAATCAGAAAAAATAAATGTGCTTATCCGATTATACGGTTTTTGAGTTGTCACCATTTTTAAGAATTTGAAATTCCCTACTTGTGAGACTACTATCTTTTTCTGAAGCTGTCCTTTGGTGTTTTTCAATCAGATTCACAAGATAATATGTTCTCAAATCAATTTGCCGCTGGAAAAAAGCCATGACTGAATGTAGGTACAGCAATCGGCTAATCTGCAATTTTGTCTGTTGTCAAAAATATTACAGCATGTTCATCGAGGCCTTACAAAAAATTAGTTGCCAGATAAAGTGTCCATAGTGATGAAAAACTTCTCCGTACTATGGCCTTACAAAATACCTATTGGTTAATCAAATATCCTAAGTAAGTTTTGCGCAAAGTAGACAAAATACTGCAGCTACCCTCTATATCCGGAAATTACCATTTTTTAAACTTATCCCTTTAACAGCGATAGTTGATCTTATTCCTTCCAAATAGGATGAGCAAACACTCATGTAACAATAAATCTTCAAACCTGAATAAATTCTAGATCTAATCCTTCCAAGGTATGGCGGCCTTGACATTTTTTTGGGTGCTAAAAGCGTTACTGAGACAGAGCAGCATTACTTAATTCTGTAAGCACAATTACCAGCCTTATGTAGTTCAAATAGAAGACCGTGAATCCTGAATGTGATTTTTTGATTCCATGAATGTGATGCTGGAGTTTTATTCCCTCTATACCATAGAGGTCATTCTTTTTTTTATAAAATATGTTGCGGTGATATTTATAGATGTTCGAAGTGAGTTCCTGTTCTTCCAAAATAAGCTTCGTCCATCCATAAGACTCTTTTAATGAACTGTCACTTCTGTATTGTTGGAGCATCCGTCTGCAAGACCGGCGGGCTCTCTGTAAGAACAGCCTGCACATGTTTAATGTGAAACTGGTGCAGCCGATTTAATAATAATAATATTTCTGTGCGGAATTCGGATTAGCTACACCAGCATTCCGTGAAACATTGCGCACGCTGCTAGAAAGCTCATTTTCAGTTAACTGTAGTACCACATATTCAGCTTCTACGCTGATCCTCGGGCTTCCTGTTCTTAATGGTCTCCCAGGCATATCTCCTGCTGCATAGGCACTATGTACACAAATAAATGGTCTGGAAAAGTTTCTCTACGGGGATATCGGTTTCGATATTCTTCGGCAGTAGGTACGTCGAGCATTTTCATTGCACAATCCATAAATAAAATGCATTTCTGCATATTCCTATGACTAGTACGTCATCTTACATCCAGTCACAAAAGTGAAATAAGTACGGCATTATCCACGCATCCCGTTTGCTGTACGGATGTGTGCTTATATCATCTACCTGATTTTATTCACCGATTGGTCAGGTAGTATATAGCGGTATTTCCAAAACCATTCTGTTACCCAAAATCATGTCGGGGGCGCCCTCATGTACGTTGATAATACCTGGCATTTCTTTGAGCTTGAGGGTTCGTTGTCCCTCAATTCTTTTCCCATCATGTTCAGAGGATAGACGATCAACAATGGCATGTTCTCACCAACTTTGTTTTGGAGTAATACTGACGTTCGCCCGTCTATGCCAAACAACTATTTTTGGATTCATTACCACCTGAAGCTGTAGACTATCTCAATATAACTCTCGGATATAAACAAGAATCTTGACAATATCTCACAGAAGTGTTCTTATTTCATTTCATTATTGACCAATCGTTATGAGAGAACTTTAGTTACCTTTACAACATAATTTCCTGCTAGATGTGATTATGACACGTCATCCAGCGTACTACAGGAAACATGCTACCATCATCATCACCACCAGAAAAGCGCAGATTCATACCATGGAAGAGATCTCAAGATGTGCAAAAACAACAGACAGATGCATGCTGAGAAAACTTACCATGAGGTTAACGCTAATGAAGATCCAGAGAGAGACGAAGAGGAGAATAAAAAAAATGTCGGTTCTGATGGCTCCAAAGATGCTCACCATATATCTAAAAATGATCAGGAGATCCAAACAGAATATATTTTTCCATCTGAAAAGGAGATTATAGGTAATCGAATCAAACCATATGCAGACGCTCGATAATGTAAACTAATTTAATCCAAGTGTGGTTCACATTATAGAAATGTTTACATTAGCGAACGTGATTTATATAATATTTGATTTATTAAAAGAAACGTTTAATACATACTATTTATAACAAAATAAACAAATATTCTAACAGCGATAAGTATTTTTTTAATTAGAATAAAAATAATTAACAATTTTTGTCTGCGTAAATTTGCGCTTAGCATTGTCTTCCAATGCCTGCGCCCGTAATTTACGAAGAACTAAAATATCCGTGTATGAAACTTCTTTTCTTTCATCCCAATCTAAAGCTTAGTTAAAAACTTGTATAGCTTGCGCGTCAGTCACTTCACTTCTGACTTCAATGGGATCGGTCTCATCATCCTCACTGTCCATATCCTCCTCCTTATCAGCATCATTCGTCTGCTTATCTTCGTTCCATAAATTAATATCAGCAGGAGTACAAACAATGTTGGGATTCACTGTTTTCAATAAATCAACAACATCCAATGACACACTAATAACATTATCATTATTGGATCGCAAACGTTCTCTAATTACGCTTAAGGGGACATCGTCTTCTTCATCATCTTCATTATTGGTACAAAAGAGATTGTTCCAACATTTTTGAATAGTTTGCTGGTTAAATTCATTCCAGGCCATATGTAAATCTAAAACAGCTTCTCGTAATGTTACTTTTGAAAGCCTCAGATAAGTTTTCAGGATTCTTTGATAAGACAGACGAAAGTAGAAACTTCCTATAGTATAGTTTGGTGAGTCTTATTATATTCTGGTCCATCGGTTGAATTGACGGTGTTACGTTGGGCGGCATGTACATGACGAAAATTGACCCATCCCTGCTCCTCGGGAGGATGACTTGGTGCATTATCCAATAGTAACAACGCTTTTATTGGAAGCTTCTGTTGTTTTAGGAAACCTTTTACCTACACATTGAAAACACATCTTCAAATTATGAATAGAGCATTTGTGATAATTGATTGTCATACCTGAGGGACAAAGCACCTGTGGAACCATTTCAGGAATATACTGCTAGTCATCCAAGCGGTTTTTGAATACAGTCATAATCAACAGGGATATAGACATTTTTAAATGAGCGCGGATTTGTTGCTTTCCCAATTACCAGTTGCTTTATTTTGTGTGAACCATTAGCATTAGTGCAGGCTAGAAACGTTATTCGTTGTTTCTCCGGCTTTCTTCCCGGGGCAGATTTTTCAAATGATGCAGCATAGGTTTTCTCTGGTAACATTTTCCAATAAAGGCCACTTTCATCTGCGTTGTAAATTTGTTCCATTCTTAAATGTAGCTCGGTAATTGTTTTCATCAATTTTTCTTTGAATGGTTGCACTAATTGTGGTTGTGCTGATAATTTTTCACCAGATATAGACATCAGTCGAATTCCATATCTTGTTTTGAATCGTTGTAGCCAGCTATCACTAGATACGAAATTTTCAGTTTCTTTCAGTTTTTCATTTAACAGTCTCGCTCTCTGTTTAAGTACTTCGCCACTAACTGGGACATGATTTTCCCGTTGTTTTAAAAACCACTTATACAGGGAATTTTCCATTTTAGGTGCCTTCGCATTTTTTACAGTTTTTCTTTTTCCCGGACCTCCAAATGTATTGCACGTTCTTTGTAAAATTTGAGTTTTCATACGCTTAATTTTACAGATTGTTGCTTTCGATACTCCATATTTTTTTGATAACTGTGTCACTCCCGCACCTAGTGCAACTTCGTCTATGACTTTCACTTTCTCACTCAACTTTAAACACTTTCTTTTATAGGATGTGGATGCCATAGTCGTAAAATATATTAATGCGTGCAATGTATTCACTTAAGTTCAAAAATGAAATACATACGTACGTATAAACGTATCCTAAAGGATCATACGACTGACCGAGTTTGTCGTATTTTATCGCAGAGGTGTATCCCCTACACTCTACATCATAAATCGGGGACTCTCCGACGCCCGACATAAATCATCGAGGCTTCAGCATTTTACCGTCGCGCTGTTTCCGTGCGCCGAGAGTTGTTTACGTTATCGAGCGTACACATTGTTTACGTTATCGCGCGTTCCGTTTGATCCTATAGAACGAAGTTTGTGTTTACATTAGCGCAAGTTTTCATTATCCCGAGTTTACGTTATCGAGCGTCTGCTATGTTTTTTAAATAAAACTCTTGTATTGTACGACCCTTTGGTTCCAATAATGAGCTCATTCATGTACATTGTCGATTGTAAGACGGAAGTGACTGCCAAGGTCTTTGCTGCCAACTCCACCATGGTGTTCCCCCCTAACGCCCGTGGCGTGGATTCAAATGGTCCGGGCTTTATTCCTGCCGTTGTGTTGAAGAGGTGTGCAGAGGAGCTTGCTCCAGTTCTTTCGTGTCTCTTCCAGATATCTTACGAATACGGCACCTTCCCAGAAAACTGGAAATTTGCTCATGTCCAAACCAACCCAAAAAAGGGATCTAAGACCTTACAACTACAGGACTTTATGTCTGCTTTCTGTTATGAGTAAGGTTTATGTGAGATGCATAAGTCGCGAGCATCTGGACTACCTCGAACGTGACGGATTGATTAGCGACAGGCAGTATGGTTTCCGGCACCAGCAATCAACAGGGGACCTCCTGGCTTACGTCACGCCATTGTGGAATAAACTCATCCAGTCATACGGCGTTCGTTCAGCTGTGGCACGCTGCCCACTTATGCAAATTTCCATTGTATGGCCTCCCAGAGAAGCTTTGCTTTGGCTGAATTTCTCTCTGGCCGATATCCGTCGTAAATGACGGGTTCTCTTCTTGATCCCATAACGTCAATGTGGGTGTCCCCCAGCGATCGGTTTTGGCACCGACACTGTTCCCCGTACACGTCAACGACCTCCTTTCTTGTACGACCAATCCAATCCACAGCTTTGCTGATGACAGCACTCTGCATGTAGAAATTTAGAGCGACAAACCGATCTTTGCCGGTAACCTGGAAAAAATTAGTCTAGCAGCGACTGCTTTTTCCAGTTCAGCTAACCTTAGACAGTTCAAAAACCGGATTAACAGAATTTCTTTGGGATGCTCATAGCAGCCATGGCATAAAGAAATACAATTGACACTTTTGACAATATATTGTCGTTTTATTTCATTTTTAAATTCTGTTCCAGCAAGTGATGATAAAAGCACCTCTGAAACGAGAACCGACAAAGAACCACCCAAGCAAAAGGAGAAACATACAAAAAAGAAGAAATCCTCAAGAAAAGAAAGAAAACACCGGAAGAAAGAAGAGCCCGAAATAAAAGAAATATACGTAGACTCCACGAAGAAATGTGTTGATAGTACAGAAGATAGTTCTGCGAATTTAACGCCAGAGAAAGTTGACGTGAGAGGCGTGGAAGATGATACAGATGAAAATAGGCTTTTGAGACATAAAGATTCTTTTATTATTCACAGGTAATAACGAAAATCATTACAGTTTCTATAAGAAAAACTTTACCCAAAAGGTTTTAGGGAAATCGATTTCGACTAGGGATTTAAATCGGACTGAACAATCGGAGCCTCAAAACCTTGTTCGTTTGTTTCGTTACTTCCGGGACTAAGTATATATAGACTTCTTGGTAAAATATGAGTTTGAATTGTGTTTAAAACTCCAATTATCGTTCACATTCTATTGCCGATTTTGCGGGAGGTTACTACTTACTAGTTTATTGAAGAGTGATTCATGACAAGGAGAAATAAGAACTTTATCGAGAACAAGTGAAATGGAATGCGGTTTTTTATATAAAATAACATAGGGGTAAAACAATTTGTATATCAGGAACTGTTGTATCTACACCCATTTAAAGTTATACGTTTGATCTTCAGTTTCAATGAGATACTCTGTAGTAAATTTGAGCAAGATGCGACTTGTCTATTAGCTTCCAGAGCTCAAAGAGTGAGGTCGTAGTTGTTGTATTTGTCTTGCCTCACAGATTTCGAACAACAAAAATAATAGTGTTTTAAGTTGCCAGAGAAACTCATGACATCAGTATATGATGATAATACGGTCACTCTGAAGACCTTACACGTGGTATGAGCGATTGAAAAGCGAGAATGAGTCAGTGAACACGTGTTTAGAGCGCGGTGTTTTTCCATGGGCCTGGAAGGAAGCATTAGTGCAAAGATTCCCAATCCTCAACTACCTGGTGATCTCAGACCTATTCGCCTACCGCCCGTTTTATTCAAAATTCCTGAAAAAATTGTTTACATGCAGTTGAATTAGTATTTATTTAAATAAAAGCATTTTTCCTGAAAACCAATCTGTTTTTGGAAAAGGGCACAGTACGACTACCGCTCTGGCGCGTGCTTGTAATGAAAAGCAACTGCATTAGTCTTATTAGACGTTAGTAAGGCTTTTGACACTCTGTATCATAAGCTTTTTCTAAATGTAAATACACTGGTGTTGACGTTTTGGCTCTGAAATGGATGGAATGTTATCTAAATGAACGACACCAATATGCAGTGATACAAAATAAAAATTCAGAAAAAAGGCATATTTGTTTTGGCATGCTTCAGAGGTCCATATTAGGGCCTATGTTGTTACTCTTATATACTCGCTAATCCTCTTCAACACTGTTCAAGTCAATCTTATACTGATGATATTCAAGTTTTCTATAGTTTCTATTCGAACAATTACCACATGGCTAACAACTTTATTTATCTAGATTTACAATGTACTACATACACCACAAAACACAAGTTACGACTTGTCGCATCCAAATCGACAGCTTTACCTTTTTGCTCTAAGAAAAAGCGTGCTTTTCGCGTATCAAAATTAAACATATTCATCAATAATACTTTACTTACATTTTTCCATTACACAAAGAATTTAGGTTTATATTTAGATGAAGATATCAGTTTCCAGGAGCATGTTAGCTATGGTCTAATAATATCAGACTAAGACTTCTATATGCAAATAAAACTATAATAATATATAGAAAAATAAAAAAGAAGCAAAGATCTCATATCGGTCACTCAAAGTCAAACATTAAGGTCATGCTTATTATTTCTTTGAAAACGTATGACCAGAATTTGTTCCAAGGGAGATGACTGTAAGATCAAAATATTACAAGGGATGATGACGATGTGCGAAAAAAGAGACTCGAAAAATGGGCCAACAGTTTCCTCCTTCATCGCTCAATGCACCGTGCCACACATCGCTACTGATTCGCGAGTTTTTGTAAAAAAAACTATCCACATCTGGCATATTCTCCGGATTTAGCATCATATACGTATCTGGCATTTGGCAAGAATAAAAACGGTGCTGAAAGAAAAGCGTTTCGGAACCATTTCCAAAATTTAAGGAGCTACGTCAGATTAGCTAAAGCGTTTTCCGAAAGAAGCCCTCTAGAAATGCTTCTAATCATCGAATAACCACTTGGCTAAATTGGATGTAAGCTAAATAATTTGTTCGTAATAAAATTATTCACCGTTTAATGGTTTTCGAAGTACTTTTTCAGAATTTTCAGTTTGCTTCCTTGTATTTATGCCCCCAAGACAGAATTTCGCGCAAGTGTTCGTATACATGTTTTTGTGGAAAATAGCAATAGCAATAGCAAAATGACAAATTACTTAGTTATTTTCAACCTTTTTTACAGGAAGAAACAGAAAGAAGTTAAAGACTTCCTTCAACAGCCTAAATGTATCCGACTGTACAGGAAATCAAATCCTAGCATTATGTCAAGAGGAGGTTCGTACCCTTTGAGGTCCTGTTTGAAGAAAGAGACAGGTTTCTTCCCTGCGAAGGGCAATTTCAGGCTCGGAGCGCCTGGCAAACCGCTCTTCGTCACCAACAGTTCATATTGCAGATATATATGAATATGAGAATAGATATCGCATGAGATTGGGGAAATACAATCATCTGGAAATTCTTCTTTTTTTCAAAAATAATATACCGCATTCATTTTTCAGGTGCTATAGACGTAAAAATATCAGGCGTGATGGGCTGAGTCAGACTGGCCAGAGCCGTATTCAGTCTTATAAATGCAGGTTTTGAGAATATCTTGTATTTCGACAAAATTATATATACAGGCTGCCCGGAAATCGAATGATAATCAGGATCTACTGCTTGGCAATACATATTTTGTTTAGTCAAAATTATCATGATTTTATATGTCTCGGATCTTGATCACGTTGTAGAACACTACAACATTCAGTTTTTTGCTGGTGACACACGGTTATACAGTAATTGTAATATTTATTTTATTTTATACATAAATGATTTACCTGCCATAGTCAAAAAATGCAAAATTCAGATTTTCGCCGATGACACTATGATTTATATAAGTACTAAAAATATTCAGACTGATATCTCTTATATAAATGAAGACTTGAAACTTGTCCCAAAATGGTTAGCATCTAACAGACTAAAATTAAATACAAGTAAAACGAAAGCCTTGTTAATCGGAAAAAAAGCAATGTACAAATGTTCAACTGAATATTAATGGTGAAGATATTGAATTCATAGAAAATTTTAAATACCTGGGGGTTTTTGTTGACTCTCGATTAATTTTTGATATTCATTATGAAAAAGTTATAAATAAGTGGGATATTTATCGCGAGTTTAAAATTATCTATAATACCATCATTCTTGCAAATTTCTTGTACTGTTCGACTCTTCTATATTTAGCAAATAATTCCATTTTTGAAAGACTGCAAATTTTACAAAATAAGTGCATGAGAATAATACTAAATAAAGATAAATATACTCCAATTACGCAAATGCTTAGCAAATTAAAATGGCTCAATGTAAACAATTTTATCAAATATCTTGTAATGATATTCATTTATAAAGTAAAAAATAATATATTTCCATCAAGTCTAACTAATTTAACATCATCAAATGTCGACCATCATTTACATAATACCAGAAATAAAGATGACTTCCATTTAATGACCAAAAAGTATAACATATGCTACAAATCTGTATTCCATCAAGGGTTGATTGAATATAATAAATTATACTCAGAGATAAAAGACCAGAAAACTTTGACAAAATTTAAATTAAAATTTAGAAATCACTTGTTAAATCTACAATTATAGGTTGCCCAGCATTTACATCATACACCATATGGCCTGAATTTACTAGTTCTATGTTGTTTACAATTATTCTGTTTATGTAGCCAAATGTGCTAAATAAATCTTTCTACTACTACTACTACTACTGACATTATAATAATGACTGAAGCTCAAATTAATGAAAATTTGAGATCTATCGACAAGTACATATGTAAAAATTCAGAATCTTAGATAAAATCCAGAAAAATCAAAAGCAATTACATTTTCTCCTAAAAAATTAGGAAATCAAATTAAGAAATATTAGACTATGATTAGATAGTGAAATTATAAAGGTATGTGGAACTGTAAAAAATCTAGGCATATCTCTTGATGAATGTCTGAATTTTATTCCTGATATGAACAATGTTTAAAATATTAGTTTTTTACTACTTCTGCAATTGTGCTTGAACAAACAAAGTGGCAATGTCAATGTGCAGTTGTTCTCAATTAAATTCAGAAAAAAATAGATACGATTTTGTCCAAATTGGTCCCCTTTTCCGTGTATCTCTGGAGATACTGGAACCGTCAAAAATTTTCAAATACATTTTATAAAATATATAAATACGCAACTTTGCTATTCAACCGACCCGTATTTCTTACCGTTTAGGATATCACAATCGTGTCAACATGACAAATTTGTTTTTCAAATCATTCAACATATTCCATAAAACTATTTTTGGCAATCTCACGAAATTGTAAAAAAACAACGAATACATATCGAAAAAGAGAAATTATTTCCGGAATTAGCATAACATGGTATATCCCCGGCTATATCAAAACTTCTCCCTTGAAGTGGCGTATTTCTGTTGTCATGTCGGTAGGGAGCGGTATATTCCAAGTCGCGTAGGTAGGAGGTATTGTCCAATTAGATACTAAAAAATTACCCTGTATGTCTAATTCGTTGCAGCAGTTACGTCGCCGGATAGCTTGAGCATTCTTGAAGATTTTATAGATCTTAATCACTACAAAAGCCTTAATTAAGTTTTGGCTACTATTTCATACTTGCCCTTATGCACTTTTCGGCCAAAAATGAATGATTTCTTGAAATAACCAATTAACTGTTGCAATATTTTACAACAGGGTTCACATTTAGCTAATTAGCCTGATCAAATAAGTTTTGTGACGTTTCTAGATAACATATTAGGACAATAGTTTCCCGATTTTTCAACGAAGATTCCACTCCACATATTTTCAAATTGCAAATTGGCGAAATTCACAATCTTTGAAACCTTCAAATAATCTCTTGGCTAAGAATCATATAGAACCACAGGACAATGACCACAAAATTAGCAGAACTACAAAAACTGCTTCGATGCCACAATGAATATACAGTGAAATCCATATACCACTGATGTCGTAATTCGTACGAGAGAAACGCGAGAAGCGTGCAATGAGTGTGTTAGAAAGAGACAGAAGTACCTTGTTGCCTAGCAACCCGAATGACATATTGCTCGTACACATTACGAAGTCAGCCAAATTTGAACCTCACCGTATAACAAAAATCAGGTTTATTCAATTTATTTAGAAAACTGCCTTCTTGCATTTACTTTTATCTATGATCTAAAACTCATATTTATATCATATTTTCACCAATATATTTTATAACTTGAACTTATTTTAATTGAGCTTATCCAGCTTACACATTCCGGCAACAGCGCCAAGGAAAATATAACCTTACGTAACATCCATCGTAACTAAGGACCTTTCTTATTTCGATAGCGGAGAAGGAAAACTATTGCGCAAAATCGAATCAAGTAAGACAATAATTAGTCGAGCTGGTTATATGTTATGCAAGAAACTAATTGAGCAGCATTAAAATTACCCCAGGTAACATCTTGCAGAGGTTACTCCAAAAAGTTAAAAATATTGACACATGGTGTATATATCTACACACTGAGTATATGTACTGATACAAAACTAAACCTGGATAAATACAGGAAAAACAGTTATTATTACAATAATATGATCACTAGAAACTGTAAAAACTTGAGTGTGCCTCTTCATAAAACTAGGTTATATGAGCAAAGCCCATACTATAACGGTGCACAATTGTTAAATGCTTTGCCCGTACATATAGGAGACTGCACCAATACATACGGCTTCAAAAAAAAAAAAACATTGAAAGTTTATTTAAGAGAAAAGGCCTTTTATTCACTGAATGCATATTTTAATTGTCAATAGTTTTTTGGGTGTAATGTTTTTGTCTGTTCGTGTGGCAATAATGCTTTTAAGTGTGAAATTGTGCCATCAAAGTGTTTATTTATTCACATGTTGACGTTGTCTATGAATATCACTGTAAACCTTATAACAATAAGTTATTATTATAACAGCATAGTGTTTCCTATGCTCTGACCGCGTTTCCACGTCTGACGGGGCTAAGTATCGAGGAGAGGCGACGTTTTCAGGTGCACTACCGGCAGAGCAGGGAAAGAAAGGCTATGCCTATTTGACGCCATTTTTAAGAGTGTAGTTTTAACATACGAGGTGTTTCTAGATTTATCTTGGCAGTACGGGTGACACCGAGTATACCAAAATTTCGTGAAATCAAAATGGCGGATATTAAATTCCAATCTTGAAATTTATATTTCACAGGCTACATCCCAAACGGCTCGATAGATTCTGGCATTTGAGGTATGTCCTTAGATTCGTCCTGATATAGGTGCTAGCACAATCAAAAATTCATTCTTTTCATGTAGTCAGGCTAATTGTATTTTTCAATTATGTACTTGTTCCAGCAATTATTTCACCATCTACCATTTTTAATTTTGGAAAACCAGATAGAGTTCGGTCTTCCGATTAGATGATAATATTTATTCCAGCAGAAGTGATATCTGGATATTGCTACAATTATCATGTTCTATTTGTCAAATTATGCAACAATTATCAAATTCACATCGATTATTCTAATGACGGCGACGTATGCCAAGACTCGTCTGTACTCAGTCAAAGCAAAATTACAACTTGACAATATTTGTTTTTCGTTGTTTTTATCTAATCGTCCCGCACTAATAAACAGCAACAAAACTACAAGAAGGTACCATCGTTGCTTCTGTACCCCGCCCTCAATGTATTATTCTGATTATTTTAATTTTTTGGTTATCGCGGTAGGCTTCCACTGTTTTGTGCGCGTATAGGTGGAATGTCATAATTCGGGCATAGCGTTCGTCGGTCAGTTTTCAAGCCGTTGTTGTGTTGTTATTAAACAAAATTTTGCAAAATAGGAATTGCACTTATTCGGATAATGTAAGTGATCGAAATTATTGTTAGCAGACTAACATGTTGCGGTTTTGAAAATACGGGACAATGAACATTTTCTTGGTGATGAAGCCAGTTTGTTGGGAAGATTCGTATGGTCCATGTGGGGGTAAGTGCAGTGACACATCAATTATAATAAAAGTTAAATCATTTGTTCAAATACATTTTTGTAGCTAATAATATAATCTATGCTGTAAAAAATGACAGACTGCCTCTCTAAATCAGTCATTGCCCACTGAATTTAATTTTTAAATGTTATGGTTTTGTATTTTCTTCAAGTCCCAAGGTAAGCTGAAGATGCATGTGTTTCTTCTTTTTGGGGTATTTGCTATGATGTACGGGTACGGTGATAATGGTGAGTGAAATACAGGGTGTACCAGAAGTCGACGTCAAGCCGAAAAGGGAGATCGGCCAAGTCATAATAGTTATTAGAAAAATATGAAAAGAATCTAAGACGTGTACTTTCCAAATTATAGGTTTTAAAAAAATCGGAAAAATCTACACCCTTGTGATGATCTTTTAGTTCCCATTACTACAAATTTCAATTTTGCCTTGGACAGAGTGTCATTCTATGCTGCGAGAGAGCAAGACATATAGTAACGCTACTTTTATTTATTCGTGAATGTATTATATTCTCAATAAATGTTCAAACTGCGTTCATTCAGCTGTAATGCAAGCTTGACATCTTCTTAAAAATGATACGGGCGAATCTTCCGTTATTAACAAATTCAGCTATTTCCGTTATTTTGTCCCGTAGCTCAGCTAAATATTCGACTGGATTTGAGTAAACTTTTCTTTCGCTGCTCCCCAAAAAATCGAGTGGATTTAAGTCAGGTGAACGGATTGGCCACGAAATTGTACCAGG